ATTCTGGAGGAGCGTCTCAGTTCTGGTGTGCCTGGTTCTTCTTGAACTGCTTCAGGATTGATCTGAACATCATTTCCAGAAATCTCCTCGAACTCAGCAAATTCCTTTGTTTCAGCTTCGGTATTACTTGATTCTGCGGTTGACCTATCTTTGTACATCACATTTTCATTGAAAATGACGTCTCTGCTTCTGATGATCTTTCGATTTTCGTAGTCCCAAAACCGGTAACCGAACTCATCACCACCGTAACCAACAAAGACGCATTTGTTGGACTTGGCATCAAGTTTACTTCTTTCAGCAGAGTTTATGTGTACATAAGAATACAACCAAACACTCTTAAGTAGAAAGGTTTATTTCTTTCTTGCTCCAAGCTTCCTCTGGTATTCCGCCATCCAAAGGAACTGAGGGCCCACGGTTGATCAAGTAAGCTGCAGTGTTGATAGCTTCAGCCCATAGAAATTTGGGCAATCCGGCGCGTATCCTCATGCTTCTGGCACGTTCATTCAGAGTTCTGTTCATGCGCTCTGCTACGCCATTCTGCTGCGGTGTTATGGGAACTGTTGTCTCCATCTTGATCCCATTGTTTGCGCAGAAATCTCTGAAACTACTGTCTCTGTACTCTCCTCCATTGTCAGACCTCAACCGCTTGACTTTCAAACCAGTCTCATTTTCCACCATGGCCTTCCATTTTCTGAAGGTATCAAGACTTCTGATTTCTTCTTCAGAAAATAACCCACCTTCCTTGTTGAATCATCGATGAAGGTGACATAATATAGTGAGCCTGCAAGAGATGGAACAGGGGATGGTCCCCATACATCAGTATGAACCAATTCTAACCTTTCTACCTTGGGAGTCTTGCCAATCTTTGTAAAACTGACTTTCTTTTGTTTTCCAAAGATGCAATCCTCGCATAGTCCGACATCTACATTCTTTAGATCCGGCGGCTTCCCTTTTGACAGAAGTATCTTCATTCCTTTCTCGCTCATATGGCCGAGCCTTTGGTGCCATAGGTTTGATTTTCCATCAGCATCTGCTACTGCAATGATATTCTCTAAATTGGAGGTTACATAGAGAGTACCGGTCTTCTTACCACGAGCATTGACGAGTGCTCCTTTGGTAATCCTCCATTCACAGCCTGAAAAAGTTGTACTATATCCTTCTCCATCAAGCTGCCCAACAGAAATCAGATTTCTTTTGAGGCCAGGAATATGTCTCACTCCTGTCAGCTTCCAAGTGGTCTGGTTTGACAGCTTTAGTCGGATGTCTCCTTTTTCGACGATCTTCAAGGTTTCATCATCAGCTAGATGAACCTTCCCAAAATCACCACTGACATAGTTCTCCAGATTTCTCGGCATGGGGTGGAGTGAAAAGGCATCACATGTCTCCTCCGTCATGTTGGCAGATTCCTGCGCCGGTATTTTTCTTCGGTGCTCGCAATCTCTTTGAAGTGACCCTTCTTGCCGCAATTATAACAGGTAAAATCTTTATTTTCTGTTCTTGATTTGCCCCTTCTGGATTTTGATCTTCCACGATTTGAATTTGTTTCTGAAGTTCTCCCTCTAGACTCCGTGTGCAAGGCTGAGGAGGTTGATGCTTCACCCGATTCTCTTCGCGAATTTCTTCACTCAATACCAGATCCGAAACATCGTCGAATTTTAATTTGCTGTTTCCCGACGAACTGCTGACTGCTGTAACGTAGCATTCCAACATCTGGTAGAGATGATAAGAGAATTAAGCTCGAACTTCATCATCGAAATCAATTTCCACTGAACCAACTGGGTTGTGATTGTGTTGAGTCATTTAGGTGTTGTGCCACCGATGCCCCTTCCGCCATCCGCAAATTGATAATCGCCTCATCAAATGAACTTTGTTTGAGGCTGATGGCTTCTCGTACATACTGGAGAGAGCCGCCATAAACCCGCCGTGGTCTTTTCCTTTGCTATGTTAAAAGCAACATTGCGGGATAATGTCAGTCGATAACTCCGAGGGCTTGTCTGTCGAGAAAAGCCCAATCTTCATCCTTCATGACCTCTGGTTGCTTTCCTGAGAGAGGTTGATATAGATTTTTCTGGTACAAAAAATCTCAATCTGCATCTTCCAAAAGCCAAAGTCCGCACCATCGAACTTTTCAATTTTCACCTTCCCTTCGTCTGCAGCCATCGCTCCCACTCGAATCTGGCTTCGTTTGGATCGTTTCTGACAATTCTTGCGAATCACCGTGTATTAGAACACCACCGTCGACAAACTCGTATCGCCGACCGAATTTCACTATTCACGAAATTTACTATTCACGTGAGTAAGAGTAACCTCGCAGAAAATTTGACAAAATTCACAACCAAAAGCTCTGATTACCAGTTGTTAGGAAAATAAACCCCAGTACAAGTAATTTCCCTATAACCAGATTAGTGAGAATGCAAAATAAAAGCGGAAAAATAATACCCGAAAATTGATAACGGAGTTCAGCCAATTGTGCTTACGTCTCCGGGCTGCTGCAGATCTTTTACTAAGAGAGAAAATTTACAGGTGTTTACAAAACACTCACTACTCACAAGAAAGCTCTCTAGTATAGGAAGAAAGAAATGTTTTGGGATGATTTTGAAGCTAAATGGGTAAGGGTATTTATAGTAGAAACTTAGGGACTAATCTTTGAAAATACCCTAAAGTGCAATGACTAAAGTGAATTTACCCATTCTTATTTTCAACAAACATCTACCAAAATTTTACCAAACTTTGAAAAACATTTTTCAAAGAAACATTTACCAAACTTTGAAAAAACATTTTCCAAAGTTGGTTGCCAAACATTGAAACTTTTAACATGAAGAAGGTTTGATCTTTTCTTTTTTGGGGGAGGTAAGCTCACTGGTTTTTTTTTCCTTTTTACACTCACAGCCCTTCCAATATCAGATTCAACTCTGATGCCACTATTAGGAAATTTTGAAAGAGCATAACAGAAAAATGAGTGGAGAGAGAACCACTATGATTCATTCTTTTTTAATATTTATACAGCAATACAAAAAACAATCAACAACTACTCCCTTAAATTTTGCAACATGTTTCCTGATTTTTTTAGCTTGAAATAAGTTTCACCACAAATCCAATGACTGTAATTATTTCGGTCAACAACAGTCATTACAAAAACTATTTTGAAAAAAATCAAACAAAATAAGCAACAAGTGTCACAACAAAAGTGTCATCATATCTTCTGCTTGTACGTTTCCAGCAATTTACAACTTCGGTGATTCGAACTCCGATACCGGAAGTTACTTCGCAACATTCGGTCGGATTCCTCCATCTTATGGCGAGACCTTTTTCGGTAAACCTTCTGTTAGGCTTTCTGATGGGCGTCTAATCATAGATTTTATTGGTAAGGGTGGTTTGAAAGTTCGTACTTTTTGTTCTTCTGTTATGTCACCATGTCATGCAACTGTTATTGTTCTTTCTATATCTTCATATATTATATGATCTTTGCAAGCGCACTTCTTGTAGACAAGAAGACCCGAGAGATTTATTTTATTAACAATCTGTGCAGCTAATGAGTTGGAATTGCCATTCTTGAGTGCATGCCTTGATGCAATGGATTCGAACTTCAGACACGGAGTGAATTTCGCAACATCTGCATCAACAATTCAACCGGCCGATGGTAAATTAATTGATGCTGGTTTTAATCCATTATCTCTTGATATACAACTCTCTCAGTTTCAACAACTTCAAGAACGCACCAATGAGCTTTATGATCAAGGTTAGATATGCCTACTTCATGGACTACTCCAGAAAGTGATATGCAGGGTTTATATTTCTTTCATTTATGGCAATGAATAACATCGTGTTTGCTTGTTTATTAGCCAAGAAATCAGATATTACGGATAGGCTCCCTAGACCGAATGAGTTTTCGAAGGCTCTTTACACGTTTGATTCTGGGCAGAATGATCTGGCTTTTGGCCTTGCAACAACTACAGAGGAGCAGGTTAACGCATCCATTCCCAATATAATCAGTCGGTTGGCCACAGCAATAGAGGTATTTTAGGTATCTGCTTCGATTTAAACGACATAAAGTCGAAAAAGATTAAACGACTCGTGTTTACTTTCAGAAACTCTTTCACCAAGGAGCACGATTCTTTTGGATACATAATACCGGTCCCCTTGGCTGCTTGCCTTTTGTTCTCATGAACTCCCCTCCACAGCCTGGGAATACCGACCAAGTTGGTTGCATTAAGTCTTACAATGAGGCGGCTTAAGAGTTCAACAAGCAGCTTAAAGACACGATTTCTCAACTTGAGGCCAAGCTCAATGGTGCAAGGCTTATATATGTGGATATCTACTCAGCTAAATATTCTTTGATTAGTGAAGCAAGTAAATATGGTGTTTTAAAGTTCTGTAACATTTTATTCTCTCTAAATAAGAGTGAGCTTCACTGATTCAAGTTTTCATCAATGACAACCGTATATGGCTCGGTGACTGCAAGCTTTGTTGATCCTTTTATATTTTGTTGCGGCGATTATCGGGTCATATGCGGGACGACAGCAGTGGTGAACGGTACTGAAATCTCTGAGACATCTTGCAGTGATCCGTCTAAACACATTAGTTGGGATAGCGTTCATTATACCGATGCTGCTAACTATTTGGTGGTCAATAGGATTCTGAATGGCTCTCTTTCAGATCCTCCACTTCCTATATCTGAAGTTTGTCTGTAACCTCACATTTCATGTCGTGTAATAAAAATTAAGCTAATGAGTTTGATTATCATGATAAAGTGATGTATTTATTACGATCGAAAAATTAAGTGACTTGTTTATAATTCGAAGCTCAGTGTGGATGATATTCATCAGAGTTTATTTTATGTTTCCTTGCTGGCGGTACAATCTATGAGCAACAAATTTGCTCAATATTTTAATCCCAACTTGCAAATATTAAATTAAAAGTAAAACAAAATTTGTCTGATATAGATTTGCCTTCTCCGGTTCCAGGATTGAAGATTAACGGATCATGCGGATCAAATTCTATAGTTGACTCTCAACTCTCAATCTACAACTATTACTAGATCCTCTCCATTTTTCTTTTCCCACAAAGGATAATCTGAAGCTCCCATCTAAGGTACATTTCTTAAGCTCCCTTCTTACCTTTATATCTTCTGCTTCTTTCCCGAATCTATAATAGAATCATGTTCAAATGTGTGTGTGTGTTTTGAATTTTTATCTTTGGAATTACTAGCAGAAAATTTCTGGGTTTGAGGACATAATCATTGTAGTTTTCTGTTTACTACTATTTAATTCTCGATTAAAGGTGTGACTGGTTTTTAGGAACCCCTGCTGGTATTAACCAGAAGAAGAGTGTAATGGCAGTGGCAATCATTGTACTACTTGTGGCTTCACTGCTTAGTTCATCCCGTGCTTGTCATTTTCCAGCAATTTACAACTTGGGCGATTCAAACTCCGATACAGGAAGTGTCTCCGCAACATTTGGTCGGGTTCGTCCCCCTTTCGGAGAGACTTTCTTCCGTAAACCTGCTGGTCGGTATTCCGATGGGCGTCTAATCATCGATTTTATAGGTAAGGGTGGCTTTATTCACTTGGCATAGACAGTTGGGAACCCTTGTTTTTGCTTTATCTTGAAACATCATATTTGCGCGTGTTTACGGAGTCAAGTTCAGTTATGACACCATGTCATGGACCAGCTTTTGTTGTTTTTATATACATCCACAGATGAGATGATACCTGCAAATCCACACCTATTCTAAACAAGAAGACCTGAGAGACTTTATTTTTGGTATCAATCCGTGCAGCTAATGAGTTGAAAATGCCATTCTTGAGTGCCTACCTTGATGCAATAGAATCGAACTTCAGTCACGGAGCGAATTTTGCAGCGAGCGGATCAACGATTCAACCAGCCAATGGCAAATTAATTGGTGCAGGTTTTAACCCCTTATCTCTTGATATACAGCTCTTGCAGTTTCAACAACTTAAAGATCGCACCAATGAGCTTTACGATCAAGGTTAGATATGCATACATTATGGAATCGATATGCTGTTTCTAAGAAAGGTTTATATCTCCTTCATATATGGCCAAAGGATAACATTTTATACTTGCTTGATTTTTTAGCCAAGAATCCGGATGTTACAGATAGGCTCCCGAGACCGAATGAGTTTTCAAAGGCTCTTTACACGTTTGATTGTGGACAGAACGATCTGCATTATGGCCTTAAAACAACTACAGAGGAGCAGGTTAAGGCATCCATTCCCGATATAATCAGCCAGTTCACGACAGCAATTGAGGTATTATTTCATATGCTACTTGTTAATTGTGGTGATCTGCTTCGATTTAGACGACACAAAGTCCGAAAAGTCATGGTGGTGTATATTTTCAGAAGTTCTATCACCAAGGAGCAAGAATGTTTTGGATACATAATACCGGTCCCATTGGATGCTTGCCTGTTTTTGTCCTAAATTCCCCTCCAGAGCCCGGAAATGCCGACCAAACTGGCTGCATTAAGTCTTACAATGAGTTGGCTAAAGAATTCAACAAGCAGCTTAAAGACTGGATTTCTCGACTTAGAGCCAAGCTCCATGGTGCAAGGCTTACAAATGTGGATATCTATTCAGCTAAATATTCTCTAATCAGTGAAGCACATAAATATGGTACGTTTGACCCTCATCAACCTTAGCAGTGCTCTAACATTTTCATTTCCCGCCGAACATACCAACATCAATATTCGACTTGGTGACTGCAGGCTTTGTGGACCCTTTCATTAACTGTTGCGGGCACTTTGGCGATTATCCCGTCGAATGTGGGAAGTCGAGCGTGGTGAACGGTACTGAAATCTTTGGAGCTTCTTGCAGTGATCCATCTAAACACATTAGTTGGGATGGCACTCATTATACTGAAGCTGCAAACCATTGGATAGCCAATAGGATTTTGGATGGCTCATTCTCGGATCCCCCAGTCCCTATAACCAAAGCTTGTCTCTAAAGCTCACATATTGTGTTTGTGTACAAATATTGAGCTCAATTAAGCTCTTTTACTTGATAAAAGAACGATCTTGAATTAGATTATTCAAGTAACTTAAGAACATTCTTTAATGCTCAATGCGTAACAGCAAATCTAAGATTATTGTTCATAATTCCACAATTTTCTCAGCATTCAAGTAACTTAAAGACTCACATTTGTTTCAGTTTTCTACATGAGATTAAAAAAAATCAGAGAAAATAAACTATTTTTCTATAAAGTAATATCTATTTAAAATCTTTATTATTCATTAATAATACACATCTTACAAATACATTTGCTCGAAGTCGGAGAGAATAACACTCCAAAAAGGAACTGCTTTTCACGCCCAACCCATGTGTTTTTTTTAGATTAAGCTATAGGTGATTATAAAGTAATATATATTCCACCAATCTATGTATTTTAATTAAGGGTAAACTACTTCAAATACCACTCACCTTTAGGCTCGGGCTCGTTTATGTTACTAACGTTTTAATTTTGCCAATTTTAACACTAACTTTTAAGTTTAATTGCAATTATGTCACTCCACTGTTAATGGATTAACGGCGCGATGACATGACATCTCCATGCCGTGACATTGCTGATGTGACTCTCTCACCAAAACGACGTCGTTTTGGCATGACTATGTTTGATGCTAAAAAATTCAAAACGACGTAGTTTTATTTGAGAAAATTTAATAAAATTATGCTTTTGAGGGAATTTGAACTCATGGCATTTTGAATTCAAAAACAAGGTTTAACCACTACACCAACATAAAGATTTGATTTAATTTTACATACATAATATACATAAAATTAGTCATAATTCCAAAAGTCGCTTTCTAAAAATCCCATGAAATTATTAAAATTCTCAAAAAACACCTAAAATTCTAAAAAATCTCAAAAAAATTCCTAAATTTCTAAAAATCTAAAAAAAACATAACTCTAAATCGTAATCCCTAAAAATCATAAGATTCACTTTTTTAGGGAGTTTATATTTTTTTGGTAATCCCTAAATTCAATTTAAAAAATAAATCTTATGATTTTTTGGAATTACGATTTAAAGTTTATGATTTTTTATAATCCCTAAATCCAACTCATATACTATTTCACAACCAGGTGAAATTCTAATAAAAATAGGGGAAATTCTTTAAATAATAATTAACAGTGCTTAAACCTTTGGAAAAGGGAAAGTTATTGAAAATTTTCATTCAATTACATCCTTTGATAAATCAAACTAATTAATTTTTAAGATATTATTATGCAATACAGTCTGATTCTATTATGTAATAATTATAATACTTCTAATATTTTTTATAATTTTCCTAAAAATTCAAATTAAACAAATAGTTTTTAAAAATGTTGCATCATAATTGTCGGAACCGTCTTTCGGTTGGACCCGAAATTGTGCTTCGACTTAGGAAAATGGATTAGGAGTCGCCACCGATCATTTTTTTTTAAAAATAAATAGGTTGATCGGATACCTTATTTCTTACCTGATCTGCATCGTGCCATAGATGTGTCGGATTCGGGAGTCGGTTACAGTCAAGGAAGGGTTAGCACCCTTGAACTGCCCTTTCGGTACTACGTAATTTCCAGTCGTCTTAAGTTAAGAAAATTGAAAGTTTAAATTGAAAGGTAAAATTGTGATTCAAATTACTTATCTCCAATTTATTTGAAAAGTGTACCTTTTAAAAGTCGAGAATATGTTAGAGAGAAAAAAAAGGGTAAAGAGGATCAATAAGATAAAGAGAATAAAATAAAAATAAAATAAAATAAAGAGAAGAATAATGAATAAATGGAATAGATAAGATGAAGAAAGAATAATAATAAATACATAATATATATAGTAACGTAAAAAAGAAAAACCTCACATCAAAGTATTAATAAAATAAAAGAAAATATATAGATATAATAATAATATTTAAATAACTCTCCCCTCATAGAAAGTTAGGGGAAGAAAATTTGCTTAGATGAGGACAAAGGGGGCCCGAGTAATGATATTTCAAAGGTTATGTTAGATAATATATATATATATATTATATATATATATATATATTAATATAAATGATAATAGATAAGAGTAAAAAAGAAATAAAAATAATATAATGTAATTGTAATAAAAACCAAAATATATATATATTATATATATATATATATATATAATTATAAGATATTATAATAGTAATAAAAACCAAAAAATAATAAAAAAAGAATAATAGGAAAAATATATACGATTATAAGTACTTTGAATATATATATATATATATATATATATATATATATATATTAATAATAGGATAATGAAATATTACAAAAATATACGTATATGTAAAAAAATAGAAAAAATAATAAGGGTTAAATTGAATTAAAAAGCAAGTTGGGTGGCCAAATTAAAACAAAATCAGAGTTTTAAAATTGAGTTTGGGATCAAAATAACATAACTTTAAAATTGGAGGGACCAAAAAGGGTGGTTTACTCTATATTTTCTAAAAACACGCGGGTCAAGGATCTCTTAGGTTGGGTCATTGGGTCTAATGGGCTTAATATATAAGCTTAATTTTTTTTTTAAATTTCATTTCCTCTCTTCTCTACACCGAACCCCTCTTTTCTTCTCTCCATTTTCTCTGCCCAGTTCATGTGTTCTTGATGAACACATGAACAACACCACCAATTCCAGATTTCAGCCATCGTTGCCACCTCGCTGGCCGCCGTTGATCGGCGGTAAAAATAAAAAAGTTTTCATTTTTTCAAAAGATTTTCACACCCTTATTCCAAAAATGCGATTTGTTTTTGAAAAATAGCCTCTAAGTAGTGTAGATCTGAAGTTAAAGCTTCGAGAACTCCCTTTTGGTCATTGGCTCAAAATGTTTTTCTTTGGGGTTTTCAAGCACAAAATGCGAGTAACAACACAAGCAAGTGAAGAAAATAACACGAAAGGTAAAAGCTTTCACCTTTTTATTGCTCCTAACCATTTACAATAGCTTCGAAATAACTCTTTCTTTGCTCGTATTTTTCTGGTATTTTTCGTGTGTATTGTGTGTAACTTGTTTGATTTACGAGCTTATTTATATACAAAAATGCTATTTTTAGATTAATTTGAGTCCTAATCAAACTCTGACTCTGTTGGTTGTTGGTGTCCCATACATGCACGCCGGTTGGAGGCCGAGAATGGTGGGATTGTTGCGTGGTTGTGGATGAGTCCTGGGTACCCACGACGTTGCTGTGTTGCGTGAGATGCATGGGTGGCGAGGAGTCCACGGTGGATGGAGTGTGGCGCTGATGGAGCTTGGAACTAGGGTTTTAAAAACCCTAGTTTTCTGCGGTTTGGGTTACGAGCTTGGACCAACTGGGCTGCTGACTTGCATTTGGGCCACCCGTCGGGCCTGGAGAAAAAATGTAATAAAAAATAAATCAATATTTATATATATAATGTGTGCTTAACATAATATATAAATATTGCAACATATATGGGGCGAAATTGTGTGTCTACATCTGCCCCTCTTTGTTCATTATCGTGTATTGAAAATAGAGCAAAGATTAAAAGACACACATTTCGGTCACGTCGAATATCCTCTGTCGTAGAGTTGAAATCCGATATCGAAACTGGTTTGTCACTATAAATTGAAATATGAAATGACTCCTTCGCCGTGAAGTTGAGCTTGGGAATTGGATATCCTTCGTCGTGAGGTTGAAATCCAATGAAAGTTGCGTTGTTTCGAGGCCAATATCATTCGCTGTGAAGTTGAAATTGACTCTGAAACTGGGAAGTTTATTGACAGACACTCCTTCTTTGAATTGGATATCCTTCGTCGTGAAGTTGAAGTCCAATCTAGAGATAGATGCTGCTTGTGTGGACGATTCCCTTTGTCATGAAGTTGAAACCGCAGGTGGCCCATTCGTCATGAAGTTGAGCCTGGTAATTGGATATCATTCGTCATGAAGTTGAAATCCAAGTAAGTTGAATTGTTTCGAGTCCAATATCCTCCGCCGTGAAGTTGAAATTGGCTATGGAACTGGGAAATTGTTTGTTGATAGCCAGTCGCCCCTTCGTCATGAAGTTGAGCTTGTGTTGTCTTGAGTCTAATATCCTTCGTTGTGAAGTTGAAATTGACTCTGAATGAAATTGAAAAGTTTCTTGTTGACAATCAGCCGCCCTTTCGTTGTGAAGTTGAGCTTGTGTTGTCTTGGGTCTAATATCATTCGTTGTGAAGTTGAATTTGGCTATGAAATTGGGAAGCCCCTTCGTCGTGAAGTTGAGCCCCAAATGGCACGATATCCTCCATCGTGGAGTTGAAATCGTGGATGTGTGGGTACAATATCCTCCGTCATGGAGTTGAAATCGCGGATGGCTCCTTCGTCGTGAAGTTGAGCCTTGACTTGAATATCCTTCGTCGTAAAGTTGAAATCCAAGTATTGTATGTTGCGGGTGGACACGATTCCCTTCGTCGTGAAGTTGAAACTGTGGATGACCCATTCGTTGTAAAGTTTGGCTTCGAGCTAGATATCCTTCGTCGTGAAGTTGAAATCTACTCTCGAGCAAATTCTGTCATTTCGAGTCCAATATCCTTCGTTGGGAAGTTGAAATTGGCTCTAGCTAAAACCTGCAAAGTGATGCATATATGCGATGGATGCAATGCTATTAGGTATGCCTAAAATACATATGCAACATATGTTATTTTGGGCTCTGGAGAGAAATCTCGATCTTCGTTTGCATGTATGGAATCTTGATTCTGGAATTTTGAAGTTCTGATCCCTGATCTTAAATTCTTCAAATATTCAAATCTGATGCGCACATTCTATTTTGCTTCTTGATTGGAAATGCTTCTCGACCATATGTGCATGAGCCTTGATTGACTTCAGGTACCTGTACTTTTCAATGAATCTTTGTACAGTAATATGCGATTATCTCTTGCAAAAATAAATAAATCATTAGGTTTAAATTCAATTCAAGATGCTCAAAATGAATTGATTTAGAGAAAAAGA